AAGAACACCGTTGGACAAGGAATTTTTCCGTAGATGAGCAGAGTTTTTATGGTTTCACAATTGGTTGAAAATTACGGCCAAAACCGTCGTTAATCATTTTCGAATTGTGGATAGATGTTGCTGCAACATGTTCAATTTGACATGTCTCGCCTGTTGTTTCACACACATTTGAAATTAAGCTTTGAAATAAAGATAAATATGAAGATGAAGAAATAAATGATAACGATGAAGTCAAAAAAAAAGAAGCCAGAAGTGAAGGTAAAGACGAAAATGGAGACAATGACAGAATTAAGAATTAAGAATTAGGGTAACTGAAAGGGTAAGAACATTTCTTGAATTTATGAAGTGAAAATTCTTTAGCGGCAGTTGGTTGGTTGGGAGTAAATTGTCAAACTCAAGGGGAATAATGCACATGGAAGTAGTTCTCAGCGGTTTAGCGGGTTGAGAATAAAAACAAAAACAAAGATGCCTAGAGGTACAGGCAAAAACGAAAATTAAAGTAAATAATCGAAATAAGAAAATAATCGATATTGTTATCGATACTGTTATTGATTAAATAACCGCTATTGTAATCGATATTATAATCAATATAATAATCGATATTGTTATCGATACAATAATGGATATTGTTATCGGTATAATAATCAATTAAATAATAGATTTTGTTATCTCTTTATTCATTTACATTGTTAACGATATGTACAATAATCGATACTGATGATTGTTATATTAATCGATGAATTAATTGATTTTACAATCGGTGTATTTTTCTATATGTTTATGGATATTGTTATCGGTATTTTTATCGACACAGTTATCAACAGGGTTATCGATACACTAATCGGAACATGGAATGTGATCACATTACATGACATCACGTCACATTTTATCACATGATATGAAGAGACATCACATGATATTATATCACATAATATGATATCACATCACACGATATCACGTGACATGACATCTCATTATATTGCATGACATCACATGACTTGACATCACATGATATGACATCGTATGACATGACATGACATTACATGACGTGGCATCACATGATATGACATCATATGACATGACATCAGAGGATATGACAACATATGACATGACATCCTATCACATCACATAAAATCACGTCACATCTTATCACGTCATCGCACCTCATCTCATCTACGTGAATAGAAAAAGAAAAGGGTATAAGCAAAGATGTGAAAGAAAAAAACAAAGATGAAGACCTAGGTAAAGTTACCGATTTCAAAACCAAAAACACCGTTGGAAAGGTAATTTTCTGTAGATGAGGAGAGTTTTTATAGTTTCGAAATTGGTTGAAAATCCTCGTTTAAAAATTTTCATATTTGTGTATGGTTGTTTTTGCAACCTGTTCAATTTAAGCCGTTTCGCCTTTTGTTTTACTTCGTGTTTAATATTAAACTTTGAAATAAAGATAAATATGAAGATGAAGAAACAAGTGATAACGATGAAGACAAAAAAGGCAAAAGTGAAGATAAAGACGAAAATTGAGATAAAGGCGAAAATGGAGACAATGAGAAATACATAAGAATTAGGTTAAAAGATAGGAATCGAAATAAAATCAGCCATAAAGGTTACTGAAATTTATCGAATCATCGAAGTTTATAATTATCGAAATTTATCCATGCTTATTAAGTTATTGTCGGCCGCAGTGATGTAGTGGTAAGCAGTGCGCGCTTTCACTCATCAGCACCTGGGTTCAAGCACTGGTCAAAGCAACATCGCAAAAAATATAGAAAACGGTTTTTTCTTAACAGCGGTCGTCCCTCGGCAGGCAATGGCAAACCTCCGAGTGTATTTCTGCCATGAAAAATAGCTTCTCATAAGAATACAATCGCCGTTCGGAGTCGGCGTAAATCTGTAGGTCCCTCCGCTTTGTGTGACAAAATCAAGGCGCACGCCACAAGTCGGAGGAGATGCTCGGCCAAACACTAACATATGTTTAAGCGCAACATATGTTAAGCGCAACGTATCGAATTATTCAAACTTATCAATGTTTACTGAGTTGTCGAAATTTATAGACACAGGAGCTTAGTTGTCCAAATGTACGGATACTTATCGAGCTAACGTGTGTGATTATTGAAATTTATCAAGTTAAAGAAATGTATCAAGTTATCGATATTTATTGAATTATCATTATTTATAGACTTAACGAAATTTATCGAGGTGTCGTAATGCATGGAGTTCTTTCAACTTACAGAGTTATCGATAATTATTGATCTACTGAAGTTGGTTGGTTCAACAAAGCGAAGTTTATGGAATTTTCAAAATATGTGACCTGGTCTACGGAAAGGGGGCTTAGGTGTCAAAAAATCAATTTTCACTTTTTGGTTGATTCGGATGGAAGATGAGATGCTTTTTCACGTGGTGAAAAACAGAAAAGCCTAACTTGCTTAGAAGTGTACTAAAAATGTAGAGAAAGAAGAGTAAAAATACGACAAAATATAATTTATTGGTAATGAACAAAATACATTGAATTATAAGCTATAAAGACATGATTATACACTAGAAAAACGTATTATGGGCCAAAAATAATAATGCTGAGTAGTTTATGTATTTTTCTTTGTTGTCGTTTTCCTTGAGATCTTTTTACGTGTTGATCCTGAGGAAGATGGACCTGGTTCCTCGTCTGGTTTGAGAACATCTTCACTAGTTTTTGCCTTCCGTTTCTTCGATGGCAAATCTTTCGGCAATGGAGCCACAATATCTACTTTAGATATATCCGAAACTAAGCTGCGAAGATTGTGATAGATGTACCACTGACGTTCCAAAGATAAACCGGCTGGTTGTATAACTTTCGGCATTTCAGGATCGATAGGTTTTAACAGAAGCTTAAAGGACTGCACTTCTTCACTGTCTGCGAATTTCTTTGTTTTTACACAATCTGTAGAGATTATGAAATGATGGAATTGCGTTATTCCAACAAGTGACTTGTACAGTGGTTTAAAATAGCTGTCCCATTCATACCCGACGACTTTTTCAGCCGATACAGCTTTATTATAACCCCCAGGTGATGATGCCTCGACACACTGCAGTAAATCTGCATACGTGTCGATGTTACTGAAGGCATACTTACTTTTGAAAATACCGAAGTAACGATCAGGCGCGAACTTAGTGTGCCCGGCGAAATGCGAAGACGATAATCAACAGAAACAGTAAACGTCACTTCTCCAGTGTTACTTTTTTAAATGTTCCACACTAGCCACTTACACGATGAACTATAATAATATTCCGACCAACAACAACACTTACTGGACCAACAACAACACTTACTAGACCAACAACAACACTTACTGGACGTCCGGCGCGGAGAACAATTAACGAGATAATGAGAAACTGACGAAACGAGTTGCTTACTTTTAACAGCTTTTTCACAGAAAACTAGTTTTCGCACGTAAGCTCCCTTTTCGTAGACCAGGTCACATATATCGTTTTATCGAAAATTCAAGGTTATATAAGCTTATCGATTTATCACTGCTTATCGAATTTAAATAATCGTCTTAACAGAGCGTAACGAGTTATCAAAATGTTTAGATAGTTTTCGAAAAATGTGGAGATGTCCAAAGTAAAAATTTATAAAGGTATCCAAAGTTTTTACATTTTTTGAGTTATCAAAATTTATCGAGCCATCGAATTTCACAGTTATCGAAATTGGTCGAGTTAACGAATTTTGTTGAGTTATCGAATTTTAGTGTTCTTGAAATTCATGGAACTATCGATATGTATCAAATCATTGAAATTTATCGATAAACTTGAATATATCGGGTCAATTCCAAGTCCAGCCGAAGTCCTCCAAAGACCTTCTCAGATAAAAAAAAATTTAGTTACGTGTTAAGTTAGAAAAACTGTCGAATTTCGACAGTAACTGGTACTCTAGTTATAATTATTTTTAGAGTTAACGAAATTTAGCGAGTTATCGTAATGCATTAAGTTCGTTCAAGTTTCCGAGTTATCAATACTTATTGATTTACTAAAATTAGTCGATTTATCGAATCGAAGTTTTTCGAATTTTCAAAATATATCGAGTTATCGACATTTCAATGTTATATAAGTTTATCGAGTTATCACTGCTTATCGAATTTTATCGTGTTACCAGAGTGTAGCTAGTTATCGAAATTTGTTGATAGCTTTCGATAAATATGAAGTATCAAAATTAAAAGAGTTATCGAAATTCATACAGGCATCGATACATTTTTGAGTTATCGAAATTTGTCGTGCCTCAAAACGCACAGTTATCAAAATTTATCGAGAATTATCGAAGTTAGTCGAGTTATCGAGTTTTATTGGGTTATCGAATTTTTTTTTAGTCATCGGATTTTAGTGTTTTTGAAATTCATGGCGTTTCTCTATGTATCACATTATCGAAACTTATCGGCAAACTAAAATGTATCGTGTCAATTCCAAGTCCTGTCAAAGTCCACCAAAGACTTTCAAAGGTATGAAAAATTGTAGTCAAGTTTTAGTTCCAAAGTAGGAGATTTTCCAATAAGTAATTTTTTACCTGATAATTTAAACGACGTGGTAAGTTAGAAGACCTCTCCAGTGGTCTGAAGAAACTAGAACGGTGGAATTTCGCCAGTAACTGGCTCTTCTAGTAAAACTAAATAGGCTGAGTGGCCATAACATTAACATTATAACCTTTTCTAAACCAGAACATTGCGTGATTGCCAGTTACGTTCAGTATCTCGACGTAATATCTCACATCTTCTATAGAAGTCGTTAAGACGATTAAGTGGAAGAAAGTTTCTTCAAGAAACAATACCGCATCTTCTATGTCAATGTTCTGCACTGCCTAAACGGGGAGTTGTCTTACCTTGGCAGATAGTTTTTTGATTATTTGGAAGAGCTAACATTCGTAATTTATTTCGAATTTTTTTCCCCCCAAGAGTCATGAATCGAAGTGTGTTCCATTGTGGAATATTTGCAACGACCTAACCGAACCCATATTAACAAAAACAAGTACTCACTTTTTCGACACAAAATAGCCCATCGGCGTGTGAGGCACATCCGCATAACGCCGACATTGCTGCATCACACACTCCAGCCACTCGCCACAATTATAGGACCAAAAGCCACGCTCACTGCCAATCGATTCAGCGTAGTATAGAGGCGCACGAAAATGATTGCAATTACGAATACCTTAAAGGGTACTAAATAAAATTAGACATATCAAAAAATTTATTGTCAAACAGACTCACGCCCATTCTTAACCAAATTGCAGCCAGGCTGAAAGAATTTTTCTTAATTAGGATAAAAGTCCACATGACCGCTACGCTCCAAAGATGAATAGAAAAACGGATCCGTATGGATAACAGCGGGATCCAAACCTATTTGGAGAGAGAAAGTGAGAGAGAGAGAGTAAGAAAGAAAAAACGAAGGAGAAAAACTTGAAAATATGTGGACCAGATGCACACCTGTTATGCGTTGCAAGCGCTGTTTAACAAAATTGACTGACAAACCAGCGATTTGTGCGCCTAAACTAAAACCGATTAAATGCAAATCTGAAGCGAGGTAAATGCCGCTGGCGATTAGTTGGTCAATAAGCTGTGTTAGACAGCGTGCAACCACGCGGGCATTGGCCGTGGCCGAAGGATAGTAGCAGGGAAAGCGCGTCAATCTGCAGTAGTCCATCGAAATGACATACGCTTGCTGGGTGTGCAGTAGTATTGGGCGTGACTCCTGGTTGGGTGAGGCATGCTGATTACCGTTAAAGCCATGTATGAGAATTTTCAAAGGCCAACGAGGCTCCAAGGCGATGGCGCTGAAATTCAGTGCATCCAAGAGAAGCGGTTCGCCTTGGGTGGCGCTGCGGTATGATTAATTTTTTATTTTTTTTTTAATTCATTTAAATTTTCACTTAAAATAGTTTACTCACTTTTTATACAGCCAGAATTTTATGTGCTCATTCGGGCACTCTTCACTCGCGAAAATACAATCGAAGGGAAAGCCAGTGCCAATGTTTGCGGCCGATGACATAGCTTTTCATTTAGGAAACGCGTATTTTAAAATTTACTATTACTGTTCATAATCGTTAAATATTTTTTCATAATTTCTTTTCTTGTGAATTTATTATATTTTTTATCTCTAAAATAAAACTCATTTACTAAGTAACAATTCTTCTTCTTCTTTTTTTGGCGCTGTAACCGCCTAAGCGATTTTGGCCGAGTTCAGCAAAGCACGCCAGTCGTTTCTCCTCTGTGCCAACTGACGCCAATTGGAAACGCCAAGTGAAGCCCAGTCCTTCTCCACCTGATCTTTCCATCGCAGTGGGGGCCTCCCTCTTCCTCTGCTACCACCAGCGGGTTCCGAGATGAATATTTTCAGAGCTGGAGCGTCGATGTCCATTCGAACGACATGACCAAGCCAGCGGAGCCGCTGTATTTTAATTCGCTGCACTATGTCCATATCGTTGTAAAGGTCATACAGCTCATCGTTCCATCGTCTGCGGTACTCGCCGTCGCCAACGCGTAAAGGCCCGTAAATCTTCCGCAAAATCTTTCTCTCAAACACTCCAAGAGCCGCCTCATCGGATGTTGTCATTGTCCACGCTTCTGCGCCATATACCAGCACGGGCATGATGAGTGACTTATAGAGCGCGGTTTTCGTACGTCGAGAGAGGACTTTACTCCTGAATTGCCTACTCAGTCCAAAGTAGCACTTGTTGGCAAGAGTGATTCTACGTTGGATTTCAATGCTGACATTATTATCGGTGTTAATGCTGGTTCCCAAGTAAACGAAATTCTCTACTTTCTCGAAATTGTAACTGTCAACAGTGACGTGGGTGCCAAGGCGCGAATGTGCTGACTGTTTGTTTGATGACAGGAGATACTTCGTCTTGTCCTCGTTTACCACCAGACCCATGCGCTTCGCTTCTCTATCCAACTTGGAAAAGGCAGAACAGACTTCGCGGTACCGATGATGTCGATGTCATCGGCATAAGCCAGCAATTGCACGCTCTTGTAGTAAATTGTTCCTGAGCGGTTCAGTTCTGCAGCTCTTATTATCTTCTCCAACATCAGATTAAAGAAGTCACATGACAGGGAGTCGCTCTGTCTGAAACCCCGTTTTGTGGCGAACGGCTCGGAGAGGTCTTTTCCAATTCTGACGGAGCTGGTGGTATTGCTCAACGTCATTTTACACAGCCGTATGACTTTTGAGGGGATGCCAAATTCAGACATAGCGGCGTATTGGCAACTCCTTTTAGTGCTGTCAAAAGCGGCTTTAAAGTCGACAAATAGGTGGTGAGTGTCGATCCTTTTCTCGCGGGTCTTTTCCAAGATTGCCGTATTGTGAATACCTGGTCTATGGTGGATTTGCCAGGTCTAAAGCCACACTGATAAGGCCCAATCAGTTCATTGACGGTGGGCTTCAGTCTTTCACACAATACGCTCGATAAGACCTTGTAACCTATGCTTAGAAGGCTGATCCCGCGGTAGTTGGCGCGAATGGCGGGGTCACCTTTCTTGTGGATTGGGCAGAGCACACTTAAATTCCAGTCGTCGGGCATGCGTTCATCTGACCATATTCTGCACAAGAGTTGATGCATGCACCTTATCAACTCCTCGCCGCCGTACTTGAATAGCTCAGCTGGCAGGCTGTCAGCTCCAGCGGCTTTGTTGTTTTTCAGCCGCGTTATTGCTATACGTACCTCGTCATAGTCAGGTGGTGGAATGTCGACTCCGTCATCATCGACTGCGGGCTCGGGTTCTTCTTCTCCACAACTTTCCGTGCTGCTACCATTTAGTAGGGCGGAAAAGTGTTCCCTCCATAATTTAAGTACGCTCTGGACATCAGTTACTAAGTCGCCATTATTGTTCTTACAGGAGTGCGCCCCGGTCTTTAAACCTTCTGTAAGTCGCCTAACTTTCTTGTAAAATTTTCGGGCATTCCTCCTGTCGGCCAGCATTTCAAGCTCTTCGCACTCACGTATTTCGGCCTCTCTCTTCTTGTTGCGGCAAATACGTCTCGCTTCCCTCTTCAGATCCCTATAGCGGTCCCACATAGCGCGCGTTGCGCTCGATCGCAGCGTGGCCCTGTAGGCGGCATCTTTTTTCTCTGCAGCTTCCTGACACTCCTCATCGTACCAGTTGTTCTTTCGGGCTCGCTGAAATCCGACTACTTCTTCGGCGGCGGTACTTAATGAGCGGGAAATGTAGTTCTACTGCTCGCATATGTCGGTTTGTTGAAGAGTGTTCTCTGAGAGCAGGTGTGAGAGTCGAGTAGCGAAAGCGCTGGCTGTCTGTTGTGATTGCAGCTTTTCGACATTAAGCTTTCCTTGCATATTTGGGCGCACATTTTTTGCTGCACAGAGGCGGGTGCGTATCTTGGCTGCAACAAGATAGTGGTCCGAGTCGATGTTTGGGCCTCGGAGTGTGCGTACGTCTAAAACACTGGAAGCGTGCCTTCCGTCTATCACAACATGATCGATTTGGTTTCTCGTTTTTCGATCCGGAGACAGCCAGGTAGCTTGATGGATATTTTTATGCGAAGTCGATCAGCCTCAATCCGTTGTCGGACGTTTCGTCGTGGAGGCTGAATTTTCCGACGGTGGTTCCAAAGATCCCTTCTTTGCCCACCCTGGCATTGAAGTCGCCAAGCACGATTTTGATATCATGACGGGGGCAGCGCTCGTACGTGCGCTCCAAGCGCTCATAGAAGAGATCCTTGGATGCCTTATCCTTCTCTTCCGTCGGGGCATGGGCGCAGATAAGCGAGATGTTGAAGAATCTCGCTTTGATGCGGATTGTGGCTAGACGCTCGTCCACCGGGGTGAACGACAGTACTCGGCGACGGAGTCTCTCTCCCACCACAAATCCAACTCCGAATCTGCGCTCCTTTACATGGCAGCTGTAGTAGACGTCGCAAGGCCCCATACATTGTTTGTCTTGCCCCGTCCAACGCATTTCTTGGATGGCGGTGATGTCAGCTTTTGTCCTTACGAGGACATCAACCAGCCGGGCAGAGGCACCTTCCCCATTAAGAGTCCGGACATTCCAGGTGCATGCCCTCAAATCGTAGTCCTTTAAACGTTTGCCGTGGTCGTCATCATAAGGGGGGTCTCATCCGAGGCTTTGCCTTGCTTCTTCACTGGAAGTGGTTTTTACGTGGCGGGTCCCAAGCCCAGCGCACAACCCATTGCTGGGACGGGGGTGGTTTCGCAACCAAATACACGTTTATATAGCGAGCCGCTTGCTCCAAGCAGACACCCGCTTGCAGCCGCACCTACTGGTGAACAGACGCTGAAGACTTCAGTGAGCCCTTAAACCGAATAAGTCAGAGTGGCCCCACCGAAGCTCCCTCTCTTTCTGCCGTGACCCAAGGCTCCACTCGGATTGGTTACCGCATCTCGCACATGGGTTGCTCACGTTGCCCAGAGTGCGCGAACGAGGACGCAAGAGTCGGGATTGAGTATAGCCATGCAACTGTAACTGCATACCCAGCGCAATGACTATACCCATTGCACTGCCAATTACTCACTAATAAATATAACGATTACGCACAGGCAATAAATTTCACACCTCATATTTTAATTAGCGAATGACAAATGTTTTGCGACACTGAAATGGCCATTAATTTTATACACTTTATTATGCAAATTATACCCGCATAGTTTATTGAAGCAACAATTCGAACTACAAATATATCAACTGAACATATAATTAAAAGCTGCTATCAACACGCAAGCCCAAATTCAGGGTTAACTTAAATATAATTAAAATGAAAATTTCCATAAAGAGTCTATAGAGTTTTATTGTTTACACAGATAATTGTTATAAATATTTACACAAGTGCTTACGTCTTAGGTTCTTTCCTAAATTTCTTACAACAAAAAAAATGAATTCTTCCCCGCTCAAAACATCATTTACTGCCCTCTTTTGCATATGCTACTAGTTCAACCACCTTTTCCCATTCATAAATCATTTGGTGACATCTGCTCCACCATTCCCATTCCACTTTCGGCGCCATATCTCAAAAAGCGACACATCAGTATCTGTCCGCAAGCCTCATCGTCCAACATGTGCAGATCGTAGTTATGGCGCCAACTTGTCTGCACCTCTGCCAGTTTATCTTTCGCGCGGCCCAAAGCGAAATATATGCCGCTAAGGCTGAAATTTTATTTTAATCACTAATTAAATATTTATTAAATGATAATTCTCCAACCTTTTATCTACATAATAACCCATCATGGCATCATTGGAGTCCAGATAGTAAATATTCAGTATGAAATAAAGCCAATTCGCACAGCGACTACTCCAGAATTCATGCTTTGGATTGATGGATTCTGCATAGAAACGTGGCGCGCGTTCATGGTTGCAGCTCCCGGTTTCTGGATAAAATAAAAAAAAAACACTTTGAGTTGAATTATATAGTTAAAGGTAAAATTTTATAGCTTTGCGAAAAAAAAATTCATTAGTCTTCCTGATGAGAAAAAATTGGAAACCTGGGTTTGATTTGATTTGTGGCCAAACGTTTT